CTCCTCCGTAAATTAGATAGGCAACGCATCTGCAATTGCAGATGATTATAAATAAAATAAATAAATAAATAAATAATGGACAGGGGTCGTTTTCCATTTCGGCGGATTCAGGTGGCCGCTGGCTCGTTTGCCACCTTATGTTATAAAAAAAGACCACAACTAGTATATAATTGGTCACCTTGAAATTGACCCTATGCATATAATAAAACTTTTCATGTTTGAAAATGAAAAGCGAACTATTTTATCCGAAAAACCCTGAGGACTTCCAGTCAATTAGTCTTTAAGCTTCGTGTGATTATTGGAACGGATTTAGCTTCAGTAGTTACTAAAGGTGCATTTCTGGCACGATTTTACAGTCAAATATTTCCGAGTGGTCTTCCTAATTGGCGATTCGTAACGAAACGTTGCAATAGTTGCAAAAAAACAATTTAAACATGATGATTGACTGTAAAGCCAATTATAAAAATAAATAAAGTTGATAACAATTTCAAGGCGTATATACTTTAATACTTGACACACAAATTCTCATTGATGTATACAGGTTGTTCAGAAATTCTGATTGATGTATACAGGATGTTCAGAAATTCGCGGTCATCCAAATATTCTTTCCGGACACTCTGTACAATATTTATACTGTTATAGTAAAGCGTAAACACACACTTCTTGTTGCTAAAGATGTCAGCAATTACAATACATTTTTGAATAATTATTTTTTTAATAAAAAGCCCTATACGAGCGTCACGCTTTAGGCTATACATTTTAAAGCCATTAAAGTTAGGGGGGTAAATATTTTGGAGAAAAACTGTAATGTGGGAAAGAAACCATAAGTTGCTGCCAACATCAAAGAAGTAAGGTTGTCATCATGTCATATCATTTTGACATTTGTAATTGATAAATTGACAAATGTGAACAATAAAACGATTTTTTTATATTTTCATGCGGTTGAAGTCGCATGGGAACAGCTAGTCATATATAGGTTTCCTAACCTTCTATATCTTAACATTTATTATTGAAACAATAAACAAAAGAATATAAAAAGATATCTTAGACAACTTTAATAAAAACATGTGAAATACGCTCTGTGTTTGCGAACAGAGAAATTTAAAACAGGAAACGAAGTACTGGGTGTGCAGCGTACCTTAATTGCTCAAAGAGTACAAAACAGTCCATTCTCAGAGCGCAGTCACGTTCTGTGAAAACATAGAGATATGTCACCGCCAGAATGAATACTCCGCCTGTTTGGGTTTTGTCTAGACATCGTAAATTGATGCAGATGCGAATACCATATTAATTTGTAAAGATAACATTTAATTGGTAGTTTAACTCTCATTAGAAAACGTTAAACATTTATTGGCTGCACGGAAAATTACAGCCAATAGTGTGTCGATTTGACAAACCATCAAAATATTAAAAAACAATTTGTAAATAAGTGTTTCGATATGCAATTTTCCGAATTATTACTCAAGTTGTCTAGACAAATTACAAACAGGCGGGGTCGAATATTTTCCGATGACATGCAATGGCATTATATTTATATTCAGAAAGTTCAGTATAACGAAGAGCGAGTACGGAAGAGATTTCGGGCACGTACCGGTTTTGCATACGGCTGACCGGAATATGTAATTGTACCGATTTAATGTCGAATCGATAACATCCTTATCGGTTTTGATGCTCTATTTCCTCGATTTATTTATGTTTTGTTTATAAAGTTTGCTTATATTTTGTTATACATTGTTTTTCGCTCTTTTTTGACATGGATAAAATATCTTTTGAAATTGTATTTAGTGAGTTTGCTACACCGTAGAACATACTACGGCGTAGTTAATGGTACGTTGTAGTCTAATCTACGACGTAGCAGTCCTACGGCGTAGCGCATACATTTTCACATGTTAATTTTTACCTCAGGAACGCGGTGGCTGGTCTCAATGGAGTGAATGGTCACTCTGCTCGAGGACATGTGACGGCGGCGTGTCTCGGCAGCTGCGGACTTGTG